CCCCACCACCCATCGTCTTGTTGTGCCGTTCCGGCTTTCATATAGGGAGCTGCTACTCGCTAACAGCACTTGCCCCAACAGTCTGTGTCGGGCTATACGGGGGATCTTTGTCTTTTGTTTTGCGCATTTACCGCCAACCTGGTCATGAGCAACGTGCTGATTTGCTGCTCCATTGAAATGGAATTTACTCCCTTGCTTGGGGGGGGGGGGTAAAGATAACCCCACATGATTGGGCCTTTCCAGTTGCCTGTTGGAGGCTGTTCATAAATGACGTCACGCACCTGGGCGGGGGGGGGGGGTCAGACATTTGTGACGATGTGTAACGAGGGGGGGGGGAGTTTGAGAAATGTGACGTCACATCAAAATGTGCAACTTTCAATAAATATAGACAACACGTTCTACTTATATTCTTGGTTCTTTCGGTAAAGTCACGTTGAAGGGAAACAATAAAATAATAAAATATGTAAAAAACAATACAATTCTCACGACGTTTTTATATATATTTTATTATTTTCCTTCAACGTGACTTTACCGAAAGAGCCAAGAATATGAATCACTGCAGTCACGAAAGCTTTAAATCAAAACGTTCTACTTAATTAAATATACTTTTTAATGAATGTTTTCTCCTACAACATCAGAGTGCAGCGCCACATTAAATACGCACTACAATGGCAATAGTTTAAAGCGATTTGAACGATGTTTTATATTTTTATTGGGGGGGGGCAGAGCTTTGTGACGTCATATTTAATGGGGGGGGGGGGTCTGACTTTTTGTTACGCCGTGTGACGATGGGGGGGGGGGGGGTGTGGGTCAAAAATCGTCCAAAAAAGCGTGACGTCATTTATGAACGGCCCCTTGACAACACCGATGGCACAATCGGGATATAAAATTTGAGGATTAAAAAAAAAACCCCATTACGAGCGCCGATTGCAACACGGAGTATAATGGGGAAGGGAAATAAAATATGAATTTGCCCTTCACCGGTCTAGCGATTTTGTTCCCGCCTCTTCGTTGTTGCTGGACATGAATTTATTAATTTATCGGCGTTCACACGTGCGGTCGATCGCCAGGTCGCGCTTGGTGGGGAAAAAGTGTGGGTACTCGGTGGCGCGGGGGAGCAATTGCAGGTGCTGCGCCTTTACCTCCGCACGTTTCTGAACATCCTACATGAGCCCCCGCGCCTCTCCCCACAATGCTAATGCTGCTGCCTCCCTTGCTCCGCCGCCTGAACCTATCGCGCAACTCATTAGCGGCGCACCGGCCGCTATTATCGACTGTTACCCGATGTGAACCCATTAACCCGAGGGAGCCTACCCCGAGCCCTGTTCCCCACCCCCAGAACAGCACGTGACGAATGGGCTGGCTGTCCGTGTGCGTTTCGCGGGGCAGCGGCGGCGTGTTGGTTAGCGCGGTGCGCTGCCAACCCCCGGCGCGACCGGAGTTTGATTCCCGATCACGGCCACCAACACCGGTAACGATGACCTGAACTGGTTCGCGAGCCCTTCCCCCCCCCCCCCCCCCCCCCCCCCCCACTTGGTTCGCCTCGGCCCGGTGCGATGCGCAAACATCGCCGCTTGGGAGTCAAAGCTGGGCCCGGGATCGGCGCCGGCCGCCCACCCCGTCGCGTGCCATGCCGGCCTTCGTAGGCGCTACTCGCGATGAGCACTATGTCCCGAAAGTGACCGTGTTTCTGTCTCTGTGCCCGGCCCACCACCACCCCCACCACCACCCCCGACCCTTGCGGTCCGCCCCCCCCCCCCCCCCCTCCAGCGCGTCGCGATGGCCGCCGAGTGCCCCGCGCCGTCTCCGCCGCCGAGCGTTCCGTTCCCGCGCCTCGAGCCACTGCTGCAGAAGTTCGTGAAGGTGGCCATCCCCACCGACGCACAGCGCCTCGACAAGCACCGGCTCAACGTGGAGAGGGTGCCCCGCCGACCCCCGACCCCGCGCTCAATCACAACCCACAACTTTAACAAGAACCCTTTGGCCTCTTGACCGCGAAGACCTCTTGACCGTGACCTTTGCCCGCGTGCCGCGTGCAGCTGTGCCGGCAGTGCGAGTGGGACCGGCTTCACCAGGAGCAGGTGAACGCTCGGCGCACGGTGCAGGTGAGAACTCCTCGCCGTTGTCGTCGGCCACGATCTATCCACCGCTGGTGGAAAGGGGCCTCCACAATACCTGGTGTTTGGTCTCCTCTTCCACGCCGACCAGACGTGTTGGAAGAGGTTTGCGTGCCCATACTTTTAACACGTCGGCTTTTTCGCGACCAATATTATTCATAATAAAACGTTTTTTTGGGTGAGATCGCGTTGTTTATAAATGTGGCATAGCCCTCCATCGCCCGACACGGCCAATCGGCAAAAAAGTGTCACGTTGACAAAAGACAAAATAGTTCACTACTTTAGCCCACCGGTGTGTTGAAGAGTGAATCCACTGATGTAGTGAACTATTTTGTCTTTTTTTACCGATTGGCCATGTCGGGTGGTGGAGGGTTACGACACATTTATAAATAACGCGCTCTAACCCAAAAACCTTTATTATGGACCCATACCCCACCGCACGTGATCACAGACTGCGGTTGCACAAATTTATGAAGCTGGGGGGCGGGGGGGGTGGGGATTTAAGAAACCCGCACCATTGTTTCAATTGCCTTGCCGGGAGATTGATTTGAAACGGAAGCCCCTGGATTGCAAGTCCAGTGCGCTGACCTTAACCCCCCACTGTGGCAGCTCCCTAATCGGGATAAACTTTGTGGGGCGGCAGGGGGGGGCGAGGGGCGGGGGGAGATGAAAGAACGTAAATGGAGAAATTGACGAGAGCGGGAAAAACCCAACCGTCTCTGTGTGCGCGGCATGGCGCAGCAACTGCTGATGAACGTGCGGGAGGTGGAGAAGCTGCGGGAGCTGGTGGTGCCGGGCGACGGGCTGGTGTTCGAGCGGACGGTGCGGCCCGCGCGGCGCGAGGCCGGGCTCACCGTCACCCTCCTGCTGGCGCTGGGGGGCGGAGGGGCCCCAGGTGAGTGCCGCTCGGAGTCCTGCCCGGTTTACACGGCGCTTCCCGGCCCACGGTGTGCTTGGCGGGAGAGTGTTTTGCTGCGGGTCGGATAGCGCGAGAAACGGGGGAGGCGTGCCTCCGCCTCTGTTCCCCCGCGTGCCGCTTGGACGCGAGGTGACGGGCGAGGCTCGTCGGCATCGTCGGGCCCGTCGGGCTGGGTGTGTGGCGCGTCAGGGGTTTTCCCGCCTTCGGGGGAGGCATGATTGTGGGGGGGGGGCGGCCACGTGATCGACCGCGTGCGGAGTGGACGATCGATCATCGCGGCGGACGACGGCTCCGTCGTGACTCCGCAGGTTCCCGCGGAGCGGGGAGCGGCGCCGAGGGGGGACAGCAGCTGCCGTCGGCGGGAGACCGCATGTTCACCAGCTGCCCGTCGCCGGGCGAGTTTGCCGGCTACGCGGAGCGGCGTCGCTTCTCCTCCTCGGCCGCCGCGGAGGAGCTGGGACCGCAGAGCCTCCCCGTTGAGTGTGCGTGAGCGGGGGACGCCTGTGCCCCTCCACGACCCTTTCCCACTGCGTTCGTCCGCACCGCACTGGGGCCAAGCCGGGTCCGGCATGGCTCGGGAAGAAGCGCCATGGTTGTGTTTGCACCGCAGAAAGCCGAGCTTGTGCTGCCCGCCACTGCCGCACGCGGAAAACGATGTCGATAGGCGGCGCTGGCCTTTAACCCCCGGATGATGCCAGTGGACAAAGAGCAGTCTCTGTGTTACTGTCAGGATCATTATTCATTATTATTGCTCTGCTTGTTTATCCAGAAAAGCCTCGGTCTCCCATACGGTTTTTTGCAGTCGAGGGCAATGTTGCTGTTGTGCGATTGAGTATTTTTTTTAGGCAACACCAGTTATAGTCTTGGTTCTTTCGGTAAAGTCACGTAAATAGAAAACAAAATAGAATTTTTTTTAAATAAACAAAAAATAAATTAACATTCAAATAAAAAATATATATTTTTTTAATAATTAAAGCAAACAAACCCACAATAAAAATAGTAAAATTAAAAAAATATAACATTTTAAAATGAAAATTTAAAAGAAATAGAAAATAATTATTTTCAATTTATATTCTTGGTTCATTCGGTAAAGTAACGTAGAAGGGAAACAATAAAATAATAAAAATATAAAACAATAAAATTATCACGACGTTTCGACTGCAACACAAGCAATCATCATCATCAGGTGTGAAAACCACAGCAAGAAAAATTTGAAAAAGTGGCGTTTTTTTAACATTAGCACCACGGAGAGCGATTTGACAGTTTGTTCAGATGGACGAGTCCATCTATGTTCGGAAAAGAGGAGGGGGGAGATGAAAATAATGGATGCAGTCTGAAAGCCACCGTAAGCGTGAACAATCAATTAAGACCCGAAATGGTTTATCAAATCCTTCCAATGATTGCTAAGCCAGAATCCATCTTCTCGGTTGAAATTGTCTGTGTTTGTATATGTGGATAGCCTCATGAACGAATCTCTCATGGTAGCCAGATGGCTTGCAGATAACCTCTGTCTTGGAGAAGTCAATGTCATGTGAGCCTACTGAATTATAACAGTGATCTGCCACGGCCGAGGTGTTGGTCCTACCGTGTTTTAGGTCTGCTTTGTGTTCACGGATGCGGTCCGAGACATGTCGTTTGGTTTCTCCAATGTAACTACTACCAAAGAGGCAACTTAGTTTGTAGACACCAGGGTACTGTATGTCCGGAATCACATCTTTTACAGACGGAACCAGATCACGGATTTTATGTAATGTGTTGAATCGGACCTGGATCTTGTGTTTATTCAAGATTTTGGAGATCTTTTTTGTGATCCCAGCAATGTAGGGTAAAGTGATGGTTTTGAATGGCTCAAGAGGGTCCTTCATGGTTGGAGTGATAGCTTTGCGGATTGTGTAGTCGGAGTAACCATTAGCCTTAAGAGCTTGGTGTACGTGCTTGAGTTCACTGGCTGTGTGTTCCTGATCGGATATGCATGGTGCAGAGTCTTGATGAGGGAATTCTTCTGGGATGGATGGTGGTGGGAATCCGGTTTCAGGTAAGCATCCGTATGGATAGCTTTCCTGTAGACAGTGGCTCATTGAACCATCAGGTCTCTTTTTATTAGGACATCCAACAAAGGTAGCTTGCCATCTTTTTCGACTTCCATGGTAAATCTTATGGCTGGGTGTATGGAATTCATGTGGTCGAGGAATTGGTCTAGAGCAGGCCGGCCATGTGGCCAGATGATAAAAGTGTCATCCACGTACCTCTTCCATAAAGTTGGGCGCAGAGTGGCAGTCTGGATGGCGTCAGTCTCAAATTTCTCCATGAAAATGTTCACTACAACCGGAGATAGCGGGGAGCCCATTGGGGTGCCCTCAGTTTGTTTGTAGAAAGTTTCATTCCAAGTGAAGTATGTATTGGTTAAGCAGTGTCTCACCAGGGAGGGTACCTCAGTGTTTAGTCCTTGATGAACCAAGTCTTCAATGATTGCGATGTCAGGTACAGGGACTTTGGTGAATAAGGAAACTACATCAAAACTGACAAGCAGGTCATCTGGGGACAGGGAAATACCCTTGATTGTCGATACCAGGTGAGTAGAATTTTGTACCGCAGAGGTGGTTTTTCCAGTGAAAGGCCGCAGGTTTTCAGACAGAAAACAAGCCAGTTTGTAGGTGGGGAAGTTGATAGTAGAGACGATGGGACGAAGGGGTGTATCTACTTTGTATTTTTTTGGTAAGCCGTATAATCTTGGTGGCCTGGCAGCAGAAGGTTTCAACGAGAACTGTTTGTCTTCTTGGTTCTTTCGGTAAAGTCACGTAGAATGAGGATAAAATAAAAATTCTCACGACGTTTCGGAGGCAACACAAGCTTCCGTCTTCAGGTGGGACAGTCACAGCAAGATCGCTGAGAATTTTAATTATTATTTTATCCCCATTCTACGTGACTTTACTGAAAGAACCAAGAAGATGAATCCTTGCAGTCACGAAAGCTTTAAATCGACAACTGTTTGGTTTGATTAATTAATGCGCTTGAATCAGAAGTTGGTTTGTATGACGAGGCTGTTGGTTTTCCTTCTACGTGACTTTACCGAAAGAACCAAGAATACGAATTCCTGCAGTCACGAAAGCTTTAAATCAATTTATTTTTAATTAGATTTAACTTTTTACATTTTTATTGTGGGTTTTTAGCTTTTATGATTTTCAATGTAATTTTTGTATTTCATTTGAAAGATTTTTTTTTGTTTTCTATTTACGTGACTTTACCGAAAGAAGCAAGAATATTAATTTCCTGCAGTCACGAAAGTTTGAAGTCAAAACACCAGAAGGACATGAACTCCACGTATTAATGCACCCGAGTAGGGAATCGAACCCAGGTCCTCTTTACTGTGTCAACACTGCGCCTCCCTGCTGACCTCGAGTCTCGACCTGTTCAAGAAGAGTTGTGCACGTTTACAAAATCGCAATGCTAATTGCAAGTTGTCTTTTAGTTAAAGAGAACCCAGTGTCGAAGTTCGAGGCGGGGCCAAGGGAGGAGGGCGACGCCCCGAGGCTGCCCCTGCCGGAGAGGCCACGGGGCCACGCTGCGTCCGAGTCTTGGACCACTCTGCGGCTGGTGAGGAACCCTTCCACGTGACTCGCAGCAAGAGGCTCGCTGAACTCGCTCAACTTACCCGCTCGGTGACAAAACGGCACCCGCCCACTCGCTCGCTTAACCACCACACTGCAGGTTACAACGCTCACTCGCACACCCACCCACCCGCTCGCACACCCACTCGCTCGCTTAACCACCACACTGCAGGTTACAACGCTCACTCGCACACCCACCCACTCGCACACCCACTCGCTCGCTTAACCACCACACTGCAGGGTACAACGCTCACTCGCACACCCACACGCTCGCTTAACCACCACACTGCAGGTCACCTCCCTTTCTCTTTCCACCCCTTGCCCTCACACTGCTCCACTCTACAAATTTCCTCCCATCATCGTCGTCTTTCCCCCAAGCTCTCAATAAAAAAAAAAAACCCTCGCTCAATTCAAGGAACCCGTTAATCTCATCTTCTTTTACAACTCCAGTGCTGTTTGTTGCTGGCCGCTTCTGCTTTTGGGCTTCCTGTGCTCCGCAACCGTGGAGACGATCACACGCTGTCTGATCGGTGCTCATGCGTGTGTGTGTTTTGGGGATTCATCTTTGGCAGGATTTGGAGGAGCTCTTGGAGCTGCTTCACGACAAGCAAGTCCGTTTGCCATCGGTGAGTTTACACACAAAGATAAAGATCCCCCGTATAGCCTTAACAAACTGTTGGGGCAAGTGCTGTTAGCCAGCACCTCTGAAGACCGCACCATTGAATATTCCCAGCAAAGGAGCCTGTACTGGCATGCCTGAAGGGATGGCCACACATGAGCTCTTCTTATGAGTTTGTGGTCTAGACAAGGCTGAGCATGTTGTACGTGCAGTGTGTGTTGCTGGTCGTGGCATGGCACGCATGGCATGTGGATGGGGAGTCCTGGATCCCAGCTGTCTGAGCAGCACAGCTGTGCGTGGTGTGCTATTTATACTGTCACCCATCCTCTCAACTCAACCACTCATCCACCGAATTCACTATCTCGCACCCACCAAGCCACTCTAATCTATGGGACTTGTAACCGTTTGAATAGCTTCAGGCCATCGTCTTACTACATTTGATCGATCCCCCCCCCCCCACCTGCACCCCCCCCCCCCCACCCATGTTCCTCCCACGCCCCCTTCACCCACCCCTGCCCCCAACACCCAGGGAATCCTGAGGAGAAGAGCAGGAGGTGGTGGTGGCACAGAGGGAACGGGCCGGCCCGGGCGGAGCGGCGAGGGCGACAGCGTGCGGGACCTGGCCATGGTGCGTCGCCACTCCTTGGCACCGTTTTAGGGGGGGGGGTGTAAATTGATCGGGTTCCTCATGGGGTGGGGTGCGTGGGTGTCTGAGCCTCCGCGGGTGTCCGCTCGAGTACACGGTTTCTCCTGAGAGTTGCGGGGCTCCGCTGGGTAAATTGGGCATCCGTAGTGCCGATAGCATCACCGGCGGCGGCGGCTAGCGGGAGCTGACGTTGGTTCTCCCGCGACGCAGGTGGCGGCGTGGCCCATGGCCGGGGCTCTAATCGGCGGCGTCGTGGCCGGGCCCCTCGGCTTCCTCACCGGACTCAAAGTGGCCGCCATCGCGGCCGCCATCAGCGGAAGCCTCATCGGCTTCACGGGCGGAACGATCATCCAAAAGTGGAAGGAAAGGCGGCGCGAAAGGAGGCAGGAGCGGGAGAAGCGGGACTAGTGATGCTCCCACGTGGCCGCCCCGTGGGGGGGGCTGTACGTCAGCCCCCCCCGACACTCCTTTTTTTTGGCAGTGCTGGTCCTGGAGAAGTTTTTTTTTTTCTTAATGTCGAGGTTGACTGACGTGACCCGGGTGGGCTTGGGGCTGCCGAGGGCTCCTCCGGCGTTGCTTCAGGAGCCTGTGGTCTCGGCCTGGCCACCCGGGGACTGCACCAAAACCATCGCTCTCTCTCTTTGACCCCTGCACTTAGTTTGGCTCCATTCCACCTCCTGTGATTCCTGAGAAATAAAACAACGGTGTGACCGTCGTCCAACAACTGGCGATGTTCCCTGTGCCAGGCGAGGTAGCTGGCCATGCCCCCTGCGGTGCGCTAGGCACACGGGGCAAATTATGTTTTCCTAGGAGGCTAGGGTTTGTTTTGCTGCTTGGGGGGGGGGGGCGTGCACTTTGTGGAGGTCTGAAGGGAGATGCGAAGTAAAGCGATGGGAGTTGCGGAGGTGTTTGGGGCACGCGCTGTTATGAATGTTAAGTTATTGATGTTGTTGTTGATGGTCTCGGCCCAGTCACCAATGACTGCACAAAAGTAACGTTTTTTTTTTTGCACATTGGGCTCGTGACGAGCACGTGATGTTGCTGTGGAGATTACGAGTTACAAAATAAACGAGCAAAGGCGTCACTTTGGCCTCCTTCCCCGCAAACGGGGCCCGTCGCAGCCGCACCCCCTGCTGGGCACGGCATCCTTGCAAGCGGCACCCAACAAGGCTTTGCTCACGGCCACCTCTTCCCCCCCCACCCTCCAAGTTGCTTCACACCATCCTGTGGCGGCACAACCTTGCACTCTCCCTGCTACCGCAACGAGCGAAGCGGCCACAAAAGAAGAAGAATCTGTCGCTTAAAAACAATAAAATAAGTCATTTTATTCACGGAGTACCTTCCCCCCACCCCCCTCCACCCCGCCCCCCCCCCCCTACTGCCCCCACCCACCCATTACCCCTCCCACCGTGCCTTACCCAAAGATTATCTAGAGGTTGAGTTCTGCTGCTACAGAAACTCTTGAGAATCATCTACCACCCATGGAGCTCCCACCCCCCCCCCCCCCAAGGAATATTTCACTGGGATTTGACCAAAGCCCGCAGGTTGGAACATTCGCGGATCGCCGCCGCCGCCGCTGCCGCGGTGAAGGCACGCGAAGCCGGCACCGCGTGTCCACCCGCGCGTTCCTCGGCTCCCGAAGATGATGTCGCAGCATCATCAACGCCGCGTCGTCATTTACGCAAACGCCACTTCGTTGCGTCTACGCCGTCTGTTAAAGTCGCCGGCTTTCGTAACATCACATACAAGCAGTCGCGAGCGTCGTCAAGATGGGCAAGGAAGTAATGAAACGACTTCAGCAGGCAATTCTCCTTCCACCACCCCCCCACACACACACACACATCCGTCCTTCCACGTGAAACACAATATTTACACATGCCCCCCATCAGCCTTCCGGAGCAATGCTGCCGAAATGCAGCACTCCCACCAGACAGACGGCCGCGTGGGGCGTGTAACTTTTTGCACGTTCATGCGGAGAGGACGGAGGTGTGGAACGGGCGGAATCTGCTCGCGTGCGCGTGGTGGTAATGCCGTGACCATCGCAGGCCACGCTCGCCACCGGCGCACGATTGCTCCCCCATCGCCGTCTGGCCGCCAAACGCCATCGGATTTTTTTTTTAGTTAGTTGTCCTTACGCCGGAACGTCCGATTAGCACGGCTTGCCTACGGACGGTGCGAAAGACGTTCTACATACACAAGTGACAGATGCCAACACGGCTAACTGTGGACATCGCCATCGCAGCGATTTGTTCACAGTGGGAGCGAGCCGCGTGCCTGGCGAGGGTCACTCTCGCCACGGCGAACGGCGGGCGCCCCCCCCCAGGGAAAACGGAGCCGGAACATCTCGGGGTGACGCGAGAGGGACGCTAAAAACGAATGACTTCACTCGCCAGGAAACACACAGTAACACCCCCTCCCCCACACCGACACGTACACGACAAAGACACAAACCGAGCTCCCCGTGCGAGCTAGGGCAGCCTGAGACAACCCCCATCACCACCCACGACGTCGTCATCCGAACGGGGCCCCCCCCCCCCGCTGAGTCACACGACTCGGGGGGGAGGGGCGAGCGCGCTGAGCGATCTCCGCGTGCTGCAGAAGAGGTTCGCGGTTCGAATCCAGCGGCCGTCCCGCCTGGCGTCTGCTATTAACTTTGGGGGTGGGGGCTGCCGGGGCCTTCTGAAAGAGGCGCGGGGACAGGGCGGGGCTGTGCTGGGTGAACGACGACGATCAGCGGGGGCGGCCCCCACGCGATCCCCGTCTCATCTCGTTTCGGGAGTCCATTTGGAATCCACTGGGAGGCAGCGGCACGGCCGCACGGGATCACGGGGACTGGGGGGTGGGGGCCAGGTGGCTCCTGTTGGGGGGGGGGGGGTGGGGAGCTGCCCCCCCCCCTCCCCACCCCTCTTCCCCCCGGGGGAGGGGGGGGGGGTGTACGCGGGCAACTCTGCAAATCGTCCAAAGGAACTTTTATTTTGCAGTCGACGAGGAAGTTCTTCAAGAAATCAGGACAAAGCTGTAATCATCAACTCGAGGCAGGCCCATCACGGTGGCTGTCCCACGATCTCCTCCTCCACCCCCCCCCCCCACGCGTCAATTTGAACGCAACGTCGCACCAGGTTGCCCGTTTACAACGGAGTCGACCTACACGGGAGGGGGGGGGGGTCTGTGGGGGCCCGGGGCAGTTCCAGACGTCCCGTATCAGGAATGCTCGCCGAGGCTTGGCAGGGGGACCCAGGGGGGGTTCGAGCATGGAACGCGACCCGGCCGGCCAACAGTGGAATCGTCAAATCGTCAGCGTTGGGGGGGGGGGGGGTCAGAGGTCGGGGCTGGGGTCGGATTGACCGGCCCGGTTCGCTAAAAATGCCCGGAAGTACGCCAGCGTTGGTTCGAGCAGAGCACTGGCTCTCTGTTGACGTCGAAGCCGAGTGTCGAAATCGGTCCAGCGTTGCGTTTGCGTTGAACCAAATGCTGCCGATTGGATTGTACTCCCAGAAGGCCGTGTAGTAGCTGGATCGGATGTGTACAAAAATATACTTCGGGTTTTTTTTTGTAATGCGGGGAGCAAGATTTGTGAAGGAGAATTGTCGACGTGTTTGTCTAAGTATACGTCTCATAGACGCCACCACCGCTATTTACACCACCCACCAACACCAGCCCCTCACCACCAACTCACCACCCACCCACTCACTCACCACCCACCACACCGGCCCCTCACCACCCACCCACTCACCACCCACCACACCGGCCCCTCACCACCCACCCACTCACTCGCCACACACCCACACACACCACCCACACACCACTCTGTCCAAGCACAGCTCGCAACGCTTCAGCTCAAATGGTCACTTTGCTTCCTTTTCAATGAACGGTCAAAAACGAACGGACACTCGACGTTCAACGGAACCTGCCCCCGGCACGCGGGGCACGTGGCTCTGTGTCGAGGAGGTGGTGGGGGGGGGGGGGGGGTGACTCAACCCGACCCCCCCCCCCTCCTCCTCGACCGCACAACTCAGTCGCCGCGGCTGCTTTGTCCACGTCCGAGCGAGGGGAGCACCGAGGACCGTGGCGACCTCCTCCGCCGGTCGCCGTGACGATGGAACGCGTCGCTCGGAGATCGCCACCCGACAGGGGGGGCCGGGGGGGGGGGCGGTGGGGAGGGGGCAGGGGGAGGAGGGGGGGGGGGGGGAGTCCGTTCTCCACTGTGAGTGGCGAGCAACTGGTCGCCACAGACGCGTCCAACCTCGTGCGTGCAGCCAAGGGCTCAATTTGGGTCACCGGGTAATTTCCGGGTCGCTGGCTGGCACGTGCGTGCGGTGCGGTGCGTGCGGCAGCCACGGACGGCGGTGGGAGGTATACACGATGCGGCGTGCCGGGTTTCCGGCTGAAATCAAGCGCTGGCCGCGCGATCCGAATCGACGCGGCTCTTTGCAGAGCTCCCGGAGGAGGTCCCGGCGCGCGCGGCGAAACGTCGGGACGTCGCGCCGAGCAGCGGCAAACAACGCGGAAACGCGCGGTCACGTGTTGTCGCACGTGGCAGCGTGGTCACGTGCTAGCACTCGTGGCAGCACGGTCGTGCGTTCACGCGACAGCGCAAGCGGGAGTGCGGTCACGTGTTCACGCACGAGTGCACGTGGCAGCGTGGTCACGTGTTAACGCACGAGTGCACGTGGCAGCGTGGTCACGTGTTCACGCACGAGGGCACGTGGCAGCGTGGTCACGTGTTAATGCGGTCACGCCGTAACTTGCTGTCAACCGGGAAACCCACAAGTGCCAACCCTCTTTAAAGATCAACATGACCCATCGTCATCGTCGTCGTCATCCCTTGGCACTTGATGAGGTGCCTGGTGACAGCAGTCAGAGTCAACAGTGGATGTGGGGTTGTGCTGCGGTTGTGTCCCGGCGCCACGTGCCCTTTTCGGCGCGATGCCCGACGTTTCGCTCCGCGTGCCCGGGAGCTTCTTCAGGAGCTCCCGGCCCCTGCGGCGAAACGCCGGAGGTTGCGCTGAACACGCGGCCACGGCACGGCGCAAGAGAAGACGCAGAGCCGGCTGCTGCTGACGACGCCGTTGGCGACGACGCCGCTGGCGACGACGCCGTTGGTGACGACGCTGCTGCTGAAGACGCTGCTGCTGACGACGCCGTTGGTGACGACGCCGCTGGCGACGACGCCGCTGGCGACGACGCCGTTGGTGACGACGCTGCTGCTGACGACGCCGTTGGCGACGACGCCGCTGGCGACGACGCCGTTGGTGACGACGCTGCTGCTGATGACGCCGTTGACAACGACGCCGCTGGCGACGACGCCGTTGGTGACGACGCTGCTGCTGATGACGCCGTTGACAACGATGCCGCTGGCGACGACGCCGTTGGAGCTGCTGCCACTGTTGCTGTTTACGACCAACCTCCCACGTTCCTTTCCGTCCATCGAGCGGGGAGAGCGCTTTCTAGTTTTCCGGGCTTGGCTGCTCGCAGCTGATGCTGGTCGGACCAACCCAGGCCGGGTGGGGTCTCGTCAGCACGCTGGCGGCGGACACGTGAGCGGGCCGATGGCAAGAGTCTGCCGGCCGCGACGGGCGAGCGGCTCCGTCCGTCCCGGCGACGAAAGCGGGGGGACGAAGATCCACGCTCGATCCACGCTCGGCCGGCGAGGGGCTCCGCCCGCCCGCTCGCCGGCTCTGTGGCCCGCGGGGGAGACGAGTGAGCGGAGTGGGCGGCGGTGAGACCCGGAGACCGTCCGGGCGAGGACCGCAGCCTTGACGGTCAACGACGACGCCGACCGAGGTGATGGCGATTGTGGTGGCGATGACGATGATGGTGGGGCGATGATTGTGGTGGTGATGACGATGATGGTGGGGCGATGATTGTGGTGGTGATGACGATGATGGTGGGGCGCGATGATTGTGGCGGTGGACGCGATGGCGATGGTGGTGGGCACCGCACGGGAAGGGGACTCGTGGGTAAACCGCCCGGCGTCGCCGCTCACCCCGCAACCCTCCAAGGGACTCCTCCCTAAGCGCCATGCTCGGCAAAGCCGCCCTCCGCGCCGGCCATGTGGCGTCTCACGACCCTGGCCGCTCTGGGGATCGAGACTCTCCCCCCCCCCCCCCCCCCCCCCCCCCCGGCTGACTGAGTTGTTCCCCCGGGCCAAACAACGTCCCCTCGAATCTCTCCAACGCGGCTTTGTGACGGCCGGGAGGACCCCGCCGACCAACCAACCCGGGCGGTGGAACGGCGACTTTTCCAACCCGACCCTCAACCCCAACGACGCCGCTACTTATGCACCTCTTCATCGTCGTCATCGTCATCGTCGTCGTCGTCGTCGTCGTCGTCGTCGCCGTGACCATTCTAACGCCATAACCTCGCGCGACCTTGTAAACGCAGACATAACACCCCGCCGGGAACATCGATGGGAAGACCCAAACCGGAGAAACGAGTGGGAAGCCTTTGCCAGCGACCTGCGACTCCCTCCTCCTCCCCCCCCCCCCCCCCTCCTCCCCCCCCCCCCCTCCTCCCCGTGGCGCGAGCCTCCCAGCGACGGGACGGCACACCCACCCACGTGACGCACGCACCCGGGGAAGCGTCCGGCTGTCCGGCACGGGATGGAAGTAAAGATCCTCGGAAGCCCGGAGTGACTCCCCCCCCACCCCAACCTACCCCCCCCCCCTCTCATAGCTCTCTGAACGTGCCCGGATCTCTCCGAGATGAAGAATCGTTCCGCGGATTTCCACCCAGGGAAACGCGTGATAGTGATTGTACCCCCCCCCCCCCCCTCAATCGCGCCACTGCTGCCACTCGCAAAAACAGCTGTGGGGCTTCCGAGGATAGTTCCCCGTGGCGGTGTGGATTGGCGGTGTGGGTGGCGGTGTGGGTGGCGGTGTGGGTGGCGGTGTGGGTGGCGGTGTGGGTGGCGGTGTGGGTAGCGGTGCGGGTGGAGGTGAGGGTGGAGGTGAGGGTGGCGGTGCGGGTGAGGGTGGCGGTGAGGACGGGGGTGGTGTTGGTGGCGGTGGTGGGAGCCCTTGGGGGCAGTTTGTTGACGGTGAGCAAGGGGTGAGGAGGGCAAGCCGAGGGGTCAGGACAGCGGGAGGTCAGCGAGAGGTGAGGCAGGTTGAAGTGACGTGACCGGGAGGTAAGGGGAAGGGAGGAGAGCGGTGCGGCGAGTGGCGAGCGAGGTGGTGGGGGCGTCTCAGAGCTCGTCGCGGTCTCTCTTGAGGATGGTGTAGCGTCGGTCGCTGGGGGCCAGCTTCTGGAACGAGCTCTCTGGGGGGTCGCTGGACTCCACCACAAACTACACGGGGAGGGGACGGCGGGAGGGGGGGGGGCACAGGGAGTGGCGGGCGGGGTGGGGGGGGCAGAGCAACCACGTGATGCTGTGTCTATATGACCATGCACACCACTGCATCACTGTGTGTGTACCTCTGTCAGAGTGAGTGTGTGTGTGTGTCCCCTCACCTGCTCCTCGACCACCTGTGTCGGATCGGGACCGTGGTGGAATTCCCGGTGCAGCTTTCCCGAGTGTAGGTCCAGCACAAACTGCCTCAGCTTGCCGGGCACCCTGTGGTGCACACACAGACAAAGGTCCCCTCGTGTAGCTCACAAGGACCCGCCGGGGCAAGCGCTGTCTGCCAGCGCCCCGGTGAGGCCGGAACGGCGCACGAGATGCTGGCGCGGCCGGAGCCGAGCCCGGCCGCCTTTGTCTCCCCGGTGGCGAAGTTACCAACGCACCAGGCACTGATTAAAGACCGAGTCGCCCTAGGAGAGGCCTTGGCTCGGATCAGATATTAACAACCGATGTCGACCGGGTTCGTAGCACAGTGCGCAAACCACTACGCTACCGCTCCTACTTCAACAGCCTGTTGGGGAAAGTGCTGTGAGCAATCGCCTATTCAGGCCGGCATGTCCACACTGTGCACAAGACAGACAGCTTGACAGATACAGGCGGACAATCGCAGTCGGACAAACATGATGAGCGAGCATGCGAGTGAGTGAATGAGTATGCGTGTAAGTGAGCGAGGTTGGGAGCGAACACGTGTGCGAGTGAATCGTGAACGAATGAGTTAGTGAGTTAGTGGCCGTGCGGGTGAGTGAGTAAGGGAGTGAACCGTGAGTGAGTGAACACTTGAGCGAGTGTACCGTGAGCGAGCAACTAAGGGACTGAGTGTGCAAGTGAGTGCACGAATAAGTTAGTGAATTAGTGGCCGTGCGGGTGAGCGAGCGGGCGAGTGAGCGAGCGGGTGAGTGAGCGGGCGAGTGAGCGGGCGGGCGTGCCAGCGTTGCGGGTACTCACATCATGTCGTTCACGTTGGGGAACACGTACATATGCTTGAAGCTGTCGATGGCGATCACGGGGCAGTCCTTGGGACTCTTATTGATGTGCTGCAGTGGGTGCCGGAACTTCTCGCAGTCCGCGTGCAGGAAGTTTATCGACCCTGCGAACAGCCGCTCGCTCGTCCACTCACCCGCACGTCCACTTGCCCGTCCGCTCGCCCGTCCGCTCGCCCGCCCGCCCACCCACTCGCCCGCTCACCCCAATCGCTCATCCACCAACCCACCCTCTCGTGGTCGTGATAATGACGGTAGCGCTGGTGGGAGTGCTAGTATTGCTGGTGATAGTGGTGGTGGCAGTGGTGGTGGCAGTGGTGGTGGCAGTGGTGGTGGCAGTGGTGGTGGCAGTTGTAGTGGCGGTAGTGCTGACGGTGGCAGTCGTGGTGACGGTAGTGGTAGTAGTGCTGGTGGTAGTGGCGACGGTAGTGTTGCCGCTGATGATGCTGGTAGTGGTGGCGGTAGTGCGGTAGCGACGTACCCTTCTCGCTGATGAGCTGGCGAGCCACCTCCAGCTGGAAGCGGCTGAGCGTCTCCTCGTCCTCGCGATTGTGGAAGAGGATGAGGAAGGGGAGCCCCTCCTCCGTCAGCTCCTGCCACCCGGCAACGCCGGCGTCAACCACAGTCACGCGACCAGTCGCATAGCCCCGCCCGCTCGCGCCAACGTACGGACCGATGGCCCCGCCCACCCGCACCAATGTACGGCCTGATCGCCCCGCCCACCCGCTCCAACGTACGGGCCGATGGCCCCGCCCACCCGCACCAACGTACGGCCTGATCGCCCCGCCCACCCGCTCCAACGTACGGGCCGATGGCCCCGCCCACCCGCACCAACGTACGGCCTGATCGCCCCGCCCGCTCGCGCCAACGTACGGACCGATCGCCCCAGAAGAGCCATCGTGTGCCATCCACTGTGATGCAGACGGCGTGTGGTAGTGTTGTGGTGAATGCACATCGCCGCATTAACCAGGGTGGCCCGCGGGATTCGAACGGCGAGCCTCTGCAACGAGCGGTGAACCACACTCCCGCGGCCATACAACCGTCGCAACTAGCGTGGGGGCCGTGCGACAATACGGAGCGGCGGCGGTGGTGGCCGTGGTGGCGACGGCGGTAGCAGTGGCGATGGCTCCAGGGAGACACGACGCCGCACCCACCTCTCCGTTCTCGAATGTGATCTCCCGGACGAGTGGCACGCACTTGTCCTGCGTCCACGCGAACAGCAGCTCCTGGTTCTTGAGCGTGCCCAGGAACACCATGTCCGGGTTCTTCTCCTGGGGGCACGACAACGGAGACACGGGCGCACGCGTGGCGTTTCCTCCACCGGCAACGCCAAGGCACGACCGGCGCGGGGCCTTTAAGGTCGATTGACCGTGGGTCTCTGCGAGTCCGTGGGGCTCTGTGCGAGGAGTCTGTGAGTACTCTTTGGTTCTATTCGGTAAAGTCACGTAGCTAAAAATACGTGACTTTACCGAATAGAACCAAAGAGTATGGATCCTTGCAGTCACGAAAGCTTCAAATCTAGAATTGAGTCTGTGAGTCTCTGCGAGTCCGTGGGTCTCTGTGCAAGGAGTCTGTCAGTCTCTGTGCGAGTCCGTGGGGCTCTGTGCGAGGATTCCGTGGGTCTCTGTGTGACTCCGTGGGTCTCTGTGCGAGTCCGTGGTTCTCTGTGTGAGTCCATGGGTCTCTGTGCGAGGACTCCGTGGGTCTCTGTGTGACTCCATGGGTCTCTGTGCGAGGATTCCGTGGGTCTCTGTGTGACTCCGTGGGTCTCTGTGCGAGTCCGTGGTTCTCTGTGTGAGTCCATGGGTCTCTGTGCGAGGACTCCGTGGGTCTCTGTGTGACTCCATGGGTCTCTGTGTGAGGATTCCGTGGGTCTCTGTGTGACTCCGTGGGTCTCTGTGTGAGGATTCCGTGGGTCTCTGTGTGACTCCGTGGGTCTCTGTGCGAGGACTCCGTGGGTCTATGGAGTCTAAGTCCAGGATGCAATAACCCAGACTCATGAAACCGGCGCAAGCCTTCGGTTTAATAACCATTGTACACATTACATATGAAATACCCAATACAGATTTCGTGGGGCAGTATGCCAACTACTACGCTGCTTTATCGGTACCCGCTCATAGCACTTGTCCAAACAGCCAGTGCGGACGACACGGTGTATCTCTGTCTTTGTGTCTGTGTGCGTGAGCGGTGGACCCCCTCACCCCTGCTGGCCGGTAGATGATGTTGTCTCCCGAAAACCGCTCGGGCTTGGAGATGTCTCTACACGGAACACGCGCACACACACACAAGGCGTTCGCACGGAACGGAACGCGCGCTTGCGTTAGCACGGGACGGAACGCGCACGTGCCCGCGTGCATGTGCGTATGCGCTTGTGTGCGTGCGTGCGTGCGTGCGTCGCGCGAACCCGAAGGCAGCGTAGAAGACGCAGTCCTCCCGCAGGACGTGCGCGACGCGCAGGAACGTGCGGTAGTTCTCCCCCTCCTGCTCCTCAAAGTAGCCGATGATCGTTCTCTTGCTGCGCTGTGTTGCGTCACGCAAGCACGCACACATGCACGCACGCACGCACGCAGGCGAGCGCACGCACGCACAACGACATGCACGCAAGCACGCACAACGAACCACGCGAGACGCACACACACACACACACGCACACGGGGCGATCGGCCTGATTCGGAGACACGGCGCAAGTCCCCCGCGTTAATTATTTATTCCAGGAGAGAGGGGAGTCGAGAGGCTACGATCGGAGTCTCGTTTGCAAGAGTTACCTCCTGGGTTGTCAGCAAAATGACAAGTAAATACAATACAGTCAGATAGCAGTCAGAGCAGAGACAGGCAGATAGCAGTCAGAGCAGAGACAGGCAGATAGCAGTCAGAGCAGAGACAGCCAGATAGCAGTCAGAGCAGAGACAGTCAGATAGCAGTCAGAGACAGTCAGATAGCAGTCAGAGCAGAGACAGTGAGATAGTAGTCAGAGCAGAGACAGTCAGATGGCAGTCAGAGCAGAGACAGTCAGATAGCAGTCAGAGACAGGCAGATAGCAGTCAGAGCAGAGACAGCCAGATAGCAGTCAGAGCAGAGACAGGCAGATAGCAGTCAGAGCAGAGACAGGCAGATAGCAGTCAGAGACAGTCAGATAGCAGTCAGAGCAGAGACAGTCAGATAACAGTCAGAGCAGAGACAGTCAGATAACAGTCAGAGCAGAGACAGTCAGATAGCAGGCAGAGCAGAGACAGTCAGATAGCAGTCAGAGCAGAGACAGGCAGATAGCAGTCAGAGCAGAGACAGTCAGATGGCAGTCAGAGCAGAGACAATCAGATGGCAGTCAGAGCAGAGACAGTCAGATAGCAGTCAGAGACAGTCAGATAGCAGTCAGAGACAGGCAGATAGCAGTCAGAGCAGAGACAGTCAGATAGCAGTCAGAGACAGTCAGATGGCAGTCAGAGCAGAGACAGGCAGATAGCAGTCAGAGCAGAGACAGGCAGATAGCAGTCAGAGCAGAGACAGTCAGATAGCAGTCAGAGCAGAGACAGTCAGATGGCAGTCAGAGCAGAGACAGGCAGATGGCAGTCAGAGCAGAGACAGGCAGATAGCAGTCAGAGCAGAGACAGTCAGATAGCAGGCAGAGACAGTCAGATAGCAGTCAGAGACAGTCAGATAGCAGTCAGAGACAGTCAGATAGCAGTCAGAGCAGAGACAGGCAGATAGCAGTCAGAGCAGAGACAGTCAGATAGCAGTCAGAGCAGAGACAGTCAGATAGCAGTCAGAGACAGTCAGATAGCAGTCAGAGCAGAGACAGGCAGATAGCAGTCAGAGCAGAGACAGGCAGATAGCAGTCAGAGCAGAGACAGGCAGATAGCAGTCAGAGACAGTCAGATAGCAGTCAGAGCAGAGACAGTCAGATAGCAGTCAGAGCAGAGACAGGCAGATAGCAGTCAGAGCAGAGACAGGCAGATAGCAGTCAGAGCAGAGACAGGCAGATAGCAGTCAGAGACAGTCAGATAGCAGTCAGAGACAGTCAGATAGCAGTCAGAGCAGAGACAGTCAGATAGCAGTCAGAGACAGTCAGATAGCAGTCAGAGACAGTCAGATAGCAGTCAGAGACAGTCAGATAGCAGACAGAGCAGAGACAGGGCAGATAGCAGTCAGAGCAGAGACAGTCAGATAGCAGTCAGAGACAGTCAGATAGCAGTCAGAGACAGTCAGATAGCAGTCAGAGCAGAGACAGGCAGATAGCAGTCAGAGCAGAGACAGTCAGATAGCAGTCAGAGCAGAGACAGTCAGATAGCAGTCAGAGACAGTCAGATAGCAGTCAGAGACAGTCAGATAGCAGTCAGAGACAGTCAGATAGCAGTCAGAGACAGTCAGATAGCAGTCAGAGACAGTCAGATAGCAGTCAGAGCAGAGACAGGCAGATAGCAGTCAGAGCAGAGACAGTCAGATAGCAGTCAGAGACAGTCAGATGGCAGTCAGAGCAGAGACAGTCAGATAGCAGTCAGAGCAGAGACAGTCAGATAGCAGTCAGAGCAGAGACAGCCAGATAGCAGTCAGAGCAGAGACAGTCAGATAGCAGTCAGAGCAGAGACAGCCAGATAGCAGTCAGAGCAGAGACAGTCAGATAGCAGTCAGAGCAGAGACAGGCAGATAGCAGTCAGAGCAGAGACAGTCAGATGGCAGTCAGAGCAGAGACAGTCAGATAGCAGTCAGAGCAGAGACAGGCAGATAGCAGTCAGAGCAGAGACAGTCAGATAGCAGTCAGAGCAGAGACAGTCAGATAGCAGTCAGAGACAGTCAGATAGCAGTCAGAGCAGAGACAGTCAGATAGCAGTCAGAGCAGAGACAGGCAGATAGCAGTCAGAGCAGAGACAGGCAGATAGCAGTCAGAGACAGTCAGATGGCAGTCAGAGCAGAGACAGTCAGATAGCAGTCAGAGCAGAGACAGGCAGATAGCAGTCAGAGCAGAGACAGGCAGATAGCAGTCAGAGCAGAGACAGTCAGATTGCAGTCAGAGCAGAGACAGTCAGATAGCAGTCAGACCAGAGACAGGCAGATAGCAGTCAGAGACAGTCAGATAGCAGTCAGAGCAGAGACAGTCAGATAGCAGTCAGAGACAGTCAGATAGCAGTCAGAGACAGTCAGATAGCAGTCAGAGCAGAGACAGGCAGATAGCAGTCAGAGCAGAAGACAGTCAGATAGCAGTCAGAGACAGTCAGATAGCAGTCAGAGACAGTCAGATAGCAGTCAGAGACAGTCAGATAGCAGTCAGAGCAGAGACAGGCAGATAGCAGTCAGAGCAGAGACAGTCAGATAGCAGTCAGAGCAGAGACAGTTAGATAGCAGTCAGAGACAGTCAGATAGCAGTCAGAGCAGAGACAGTCAGATAGCAGTCAGAGCAGAGACAGGCAGATAGCAGTCAGAGCAGAGACAGGCAGATAGCAGTCAGAGCAGAGACAGTCAGATAGCAGTCAGAGACAGTCAGATAGCAGTCAGAGACAGTCAGATAGCAGTCAGAGCAGAGACAGTCAGATAGCAGTCAGAGACAGTCAGATAGCAGTCAGAGCAGAGACAGTCAGATGGCAGTCAGAGACAGTCAGATAGCAGTCAGAGCAGAGACAGTCAGATAGCAGTCAGAGACAGTCAGATAGCAGTCAGAGCAGAGACAGTCAGATAGGCAGTCAGAGACAGTCAGATAGCAGTCAGAGAGACAGTCAGATAGCAGTCAAGCAGAGACAGGCAGATAGCAGTCAGAGCAGAGACAGTCAGATAGCAGTCAGAGCAGAGACAGTTAGATAGCAGTCAGAGACAGTCAGATAGCAGTCAGAGCAGGACAGTCAGATAGCAGTCAGAGCGAGAGACAGGCAGATAGCAGTCAGAGCAGAGACAGGCAGATAGCAGTCAGAGCAGAGACAGTCAGATAGCAGTCAGAGCAGAGACAGTCAGATAGCAGTCAGAGACAGTCAGATAGCAGTCAGAGACAGTCAGATAGCAGTCAGAGCAGAGACAGTCAGATAGCAGTCAGAGAGCCAGTCAGATAGCAGTCAGAGCAGAGACAGTCAGATAGGCAGTCAGAGACAGTCAGATAGCAGTCAGGAGCAGAGACAGTCAGATAGCAGTCAGAGACAGTCAGATAGCAGTCAGAGCAGAGACAGGCAGATAGCAGTCAGAGCAGAGACAGGCAGATAGCAGTCAGAGCAGAGACAGGCAGATAGCAGTCAGAGACAGTCAGATGGCAGTCAGAGCAGAGACAGTCAGATAGCAGTCAGAGACAGTCAGATGGCAGTCAGAGCAGAGACAGTCAGATAGCAGTCAGAGCAGAGACAGGCAGATAGCAGTCAGAGCAGAGACAGGAAGATAGCAGTCAGAGCAGAGACAGTCAGATAGCAGTCAGAGCAGAGACAGTCAGATAGCAGTCAGAGCAGAGACAGGCAGATAGCAGTCAGAGACAGTCAGATAGCAGTCAGAGCAGAGACAGTCAGATAGCAGTCAGAGACAGTCAGATAGCAGTCAGAGACAGTCAGATAGCAGTCAGAGCAGAGACAGGCAGATAGCAGTCAGAGCAGAGACAGTCAGATAGCAGTCAGAGACAGTCAGATAGCAGTCAGAGACAGTCAGATAGCAGTCAGAGACAGTCAGATAGCAGTCAGAGACAGTCAGATAGCAGTCAGAGCAGAGACAGGCAGATAGCAGTCAGAGCAGAGACAGTCGAGATAGCAGTCAGAGCAGAGACAGTTAGATAGCAGTCAGAGACAGTCAGATAGCAGTCAGAGCAGAGACAGTCAGATAGCAGTCAGAGACAGAGACAGGCAGATAGCAGTCAGAGCAGAGACAGGCAGATAGCAGTCAGAGCAGAGACAGTCAGATAGCAGTCAGAGACAGTCAGATAGCAGTCAGAGACAGTCAGATAGCAGTCAGAGCAGAGACAGTCAGATAGCAGTCAGGAGACAGTCAGATAGCAGTCAGAGCAGAGACAGTCAGATGGCAGTCAGAGGACAGTCAGATAGCAGGCAGAGCAGAGACAGTCAGATAGCAGTCAGAGACAGTCAGATAGCAGTCAGAGCAGAGACAGTCAGATGGCAGTCAGAGACAGTCAGATAGCAGTGAGAGCAGAGACAGTCAGATAGCAGTCAGAGCAGAGACAGTCAGATAGCAGTCAGAGCAGAGACAGTCAGATAGCAGTCAGAGCAGAGACAGTCAGATAGCAGTCAGAGACAGTCAGATAGCAGTCAGAGCAGAGACAGTCAGATAGCAGTCAGAGCAGAGACAGGCAGATAGCAGTCAGAGCAGAGACAGGCAGATAGCAGTCAGAGCAGAGACAGGCAGATAGCAGTCAGAGACAGTCAGATGGCAGTCAGAGCAGAGACAGTCAGATAGCAGTCAGAGCAGAGACAGGCAGATAGCAGTCAGAGCAGAGACAGGCAGATAGCAGTCAGAGCAGAGACAGTCAGAGCAGAGACAGGCAGATAGCAGTCAGAGACAGTCAGATAGCAGTCAGAGACAGTCAGATAGCAGTCAGAGCAGAGACAGTCAGATAGCAGTCAGAGACAGTCAGTAGGCAGTCAGAGACAGTCAGATAGCAGTCAGAGCAGAGACAGGCAGATAGCAGTCAGAGCAGAGACAGTCCAGATAGCAGTCAGAGACAGTCAGATAGCAGTCAGAGACAGTCAGATAGCAGTCAGAGCAGAGACGAGGCAGATAGCAGTCAGAGCAGAGACAGTCAGATAGCAGTCAGAGCAGAGACAGTCAGATAGCAGTCAGAGACAGTCAGATAGCAGTCAGAGCAGAGACAGTCAGATAGCAGTCAGAGCAGAGACAGGCAGATAGCAGTCAGAGCAGAGACAGGCAGATAGCAGTCAGAGCAGAGACAGGCAGATAGCAGGTCAGAGACAGTCAGATGGCAGTCAGAGCAGAGACAGTCAGATAGCAGTCAGAGCAGAGACAGTCAGATAGCAGTCAGAGCAGAGACAGTCAGATAGCAGTCAGAGCAGAGACAGCAGATAGCAGTCAGAGCAGAGACAGTCAGATAGCAGTCAGAGCAGAGACAGCCAGATAGCAGTCAGAGCAGAGACAGTCAGCAGTCAGAGCAGAGACAGGCAGATAGCAGTCAGAGCAGAGACAGTCAGATAGCAGTCAGAGCAGAGACAGGCAGGATAGCAGTCGAGAGCAGAGACAGTCAGATAGCAGTCAGAGACAGTCAGATAGCAGTCAGAGCAGAGACAGGCAGATAGCAGTCAGAGCAGAGACAGTCAGATAGCAGTCAGAGCAGAGACAGTCAGATAGCAGTCAGAGACAGTCAGATAGCAGTCAGAGCAGAGACAGTCAGATAGCAGTCAGAGCAGAGACAGTCAGATAGCAGTCAGAGCAGAGACAGTCAGATAGCAGTCAGAGCAGAGACAGTCAGATAGCAGTCAGAGACAGTCAGATGGCAGTCAGAGCAGAGACAGTCAGATAGCAATCAGAGCAGAGACAGTCAGATAGCAGTCAGAGCAGAGACAGTCAGATAGCAGTCAGAGACAGTCAGATGGCAGTCAGAGCAGAGACAGTCAGATGGCAGTCAGAGACAGTCAGATAGCAGTCAGAGCAGAGACAGTCAGATGGCAGTCAGAGCAGAGACAGTCAGATAGCAGTCAGAGACAGTCAGATAGCAGTCAGAGCAGAGACAGTCAGATGGCAGTCAGAGCAGAGACAGTCAGATAGCAGTCAGAGACAGTCAGATAGCAGTCAGAGCGAGACAGTCAGATGGCAATCAGAGCAGAGACAGATAGCAGTCAGAGCGAGACAGTCAGATAGCAGGCAGAGCAGAGACAGTCAGATAGCAGTCAGAGACAGTCAGATAGCAGTCAGAGACAGTCAGATAGCAGGCAGAGCAGAGACAGTCAGATAGCAGTCAGCGACAGTCAGATAGCAGTCAGATACAGTCAGATAGCAGTCAGAGCAGAGACAGCCAGATAGCAGTCAGAGCAGAGACAGTCAGATAGCAGTCAGAGACAGTCAGATAGCAGTCAGAGCAGAGACAGCCAGATAGCAGTCAGAGCAGAGACAGTCAGATAGCAGTCAGAGACAGCCAGATAGCAGTCAGAGCAGAGACAGTCAGATAGCAGGCAGAGCAGAGACAGTCAGATAGCAGGCAGAGCAGAGACAGTCAGATAGCAGTCAGAGCAGAGACAGTCAGATAGCAGTCAGAGACAGTCAGATAGCAGTCAGAGACAGTCAGAAGTCAGAGCAGAGACAGTCAGATAGCAGTCAGAGCAGAGACAGTCAGATAGCAGTCAGAGACAGTCAGATAGCAGTCAGAGCAGAGATAGTCAGCAGGCAGAACAGAGACAACAAGATAGCTGAGCAGAATGGTGGCACACTGGAGCCAGACCGTAGGTATCCCGACACCCAGATTACAGCCATGGTAGAGCGTGGGGTGGAGTGCGGGTGGATCAGTGTTGGATCGGGGGTGGATCTGGGGTAGATAAGGGGTGGATCGGGGGTGGATCAGGGGTGGATCTGGGGTGGATCAGGGGTGGATCAGGGGTGGATCTGGGGTGAATCTGGGGTGGATCGGGGGTGGATCAGTGGTGGATCTAGGGTGGATCTGGGGTGGATCTGGGGTGGACCAGGGGTGGATCTGGGGTGGATCAGGGGTAGATCTGGGGTGGATCAGGGGTGGATCTGGGGTGGATCTGGGGTGGATCAGGGGTGGATCTGGGGTGGATCGGGGGTGGATCTGGGGTGGTTCTGGGGTGGATCAGGGGTGGATCTGGGGTGGATCTGGGGTGGATCAGGGGTGGATCAGGGGTGGATCAGGGGTGGATCGGGGGTGGATCTGGGGTGGTTCTGGGGTGGATCAGGGGTGGTTCTGGGGTGGATCTGGGGTGGTTCTGGGGTGGATCTGGGGTGGATCAGGGGTGGATCAGGGGTGGATCGGGGGTGGATCTGGGGTGGTTCTGGGGTGGATCAGGGGTGGTTCTGGGGTGGATCAGGGGTGGATCGGGGGTGGATCTGGGGTGGAGCGCGGCTCACGTCGATGTCGTCCAGCTGGTCGAGGGTTTCGAGCCGCAGCACGGGATCGAGCGTCTGCTGGCGCACAAAGTCGGCGAGCGCGGCGGCGGAGCGCTGCCCGCGGAACTCGCGCCGCATCATCCGCCCGCTCTTGAACACCTTCATAGTCGGGTACTTGGAGATGCGGTACCGCTGCGCCAGCTCCGCTGTGGAGGGGGGGGGGGAGACGGAGGGTAAAGTTTAAAGGTCGTTTGGCGTGTGAATTATTATTACCGTTGTTGCGATTCCTCTCGTTAAACTCAGAAGGTACCTCTCACCGAGACTCGAGACTCAGGATTGACGACGTGCGGTGCGATTTCATGAATTCGGCAAAACTGGCCACCGTGACGCCGCCACACGCGCCCCCCCCCCCCCCGCCCGCCCTCATCACCTCCCGTCCAGCGGCACGATGCGCGTGCGTCCACGCTCTACGCGTCCAGCGCCCCGCTGTGTTGGCGGGGCGCCCCGCACGGTGATGACGTGGGCGAGCGAGAGAGCGGGCGAGCGGATGAGTGCGTCGTGGTTTGCGACCATTACTCACTAAACGTGTCCCTGTGCGCGTGTAATTGGCTTTGCGCACCTTGCGCTAACGAGTCGCGAGGAACCGCCCTCGCCTACCCCTTGTTATCCGACGTTCGCACGCTCGCTCCCATTCACGCACGCTCCCACTCACGCTCCGACTCACTCATGCATGCTCCACCCACTCACGCATGCATGCTTACACGCACGCTCCCACCCACTCACGCACGCTCCTACCCACTCACGCGCACTCCCACTTATGCACGCTCGCTCCCACTCACGCTCCAACGCTCCCACTCACGCTCGCTCCCACTCACGCTCCAACGCACGCACGCTCCCACTCAGGCACGCACCCTCCCACTCACTCACGCACGCTCCCACTCACGCTCCAACGCTCGCTATCCCTCACGCTCACTCCCACTCACGCACGCTCCCGCTCACACTCGCTCCCACTCACACTCGCTCCCACTCATGCATGCATGCTCCCACCAACTCATGCACGCTCCCACTCACGCACGCTCCTACCCACTCATGCACACTCCCACTTATGCACGCTCGCTCCCACTCACGCTCCAACGCTCCCACTCAGGCACGCACGCTCCCACTCACTCACGCACGCTCCCACTCACTCACGCACGCTCCCACCCACTCACGCACGCTCCCACTCACTCACGCACGCTCCCACTCACTCACGCACGCTCCCACTCACTCACTCACGCTCCCACTCACTCATGCACACTCCCACTCGCACACGCACGCACGCTCCCACTCACTCACGCACGCTCCCACTCACGCTCCAACGCTCGCTACCCCTCACGCACGCTCCCACTCACGCTCGCTCCCACTCACGCTCGCTCCCACTCACGCTCGCTCCCACTCACGCTCGCTCCCACTCACGCTCGCTCCCACTCACGCTCCAACGCTCGCTACCCCTCACGCTCACGCACGCTCGCTCGCTCCCTCCCTCCCACTCGTACGCTCGCTCCCACTCTCACACTCCCACGCTCCCACTCACACTTGAAACGCTTTATTTACACTCGCACGCTCCCTCCCACTCACACTCCCACTCCTACCGCCGTCACCACCACCGCTGCTGGGATGGTCATTGTTGTTGTTATCAACTCTCCTGGGTGGGGCGGCCGTGCCTCCACTCTGCCAATTAAAGCCATTAATCGCCACCAATTAAAGGCCACGCCAGCGATGGGCTGTGCGCATCCCCCCCCCACCCCCCCTCGGGGGAGTGGAGAAGGGAGAGGGCTGCCTGGCTGATTGGCCGTGACACAGAGAACAGCGAGTGTAGGCGAGGGGATTGGTCCAGGGGGATGTGCTGAGTTTTGCTTAGCCAAAGCTCGGTGTGTGTCTGTGTGTATATGTGTGTGTGTATGTATGTGTGTGCATGTGTGTGTGTGTCTGTGTGTGGGGAGCGGTGGTGTAGTGGTTAGCGCGCTGCGCTATGAACCCGGTGACATGGGTTCGATTCCCGCTCACGGCCAACACCAGTGGCGATTTTCTGAACCGGTCTGGGGCCTCCCCTAGGTCAACTCGGCCTCAAACGAGTACCTGGTGCGGTGTGTAAACATCGCCACTGGAGAGGCAAAGGCGGTCGGGCGTGGTGCTGGCCACCCACCCCCTCGTGTACCGTGCCCGCCTTCATAGGTGCTCGCTAACAGCACTTGTCCCATCAGTCTGTTCAGGGTATACGGGGGATCTTTGTCTTTGTGTGTCTGTGTGTGTGAGCGATGATGCCAGCGTGATGATGCGAGGGCGACGAGGTGGGTCTGCGGGCACCTTGGAGTTCACAGTCGACGCGCGCGAACACGATGGAGTTGTCCCCCGGGAACTCCTGCTGCACTATGTGGGCGGCCTCGTCAAACACGGGGTGCAGCATCTGACTGAAGCGGCACCTACACACGCATAACACACACGTGCACCACGTGCGTGACACACGTGCACCACGTGCGTGACACGTGCACACCACACACGCGCACCACACACGCGCACCACACACGCGCGCACCACACACGCGCACCACACACACGCGCACCACACACACGCACCACACACACGCGCACCACACACGCGCCACGTGTGGAGAAGAGAACGCGAGAGTGCACGGAGAGCGGCGGCCGCGTTGCAGCGGTGACACTCGTGCCTCACGGCAACGAGCGCCCGGGTTCGATTCCTGACCCGGGTGCTTTAATGCGCGCAGCGTGCCGAATATTCTCCGCCCTCCGGGCTGCTCCCATCACGTAAATAAAACCGGACAGCGTAAGCGAGCGGCATCGGCCGAAACATCCCGATGCTCTCAAATGCCACCTGCAAAGCGCACGCCCCACCCCTACTGTGACGGACTTGGCAGGACCCTCCTGAGAGGGAAGCCTCGAGACTCGGCAAGGCTCTCCCGGGGTAACACGAGCGCACTCAGTCGCAGCGATAATAATAATAATAATAATACGAATCTGCGCGTGCGCTCGTTAGGCTGTCCGCGTGCCTGCTCGCTACATTAGCCGGAATTAAACAAAGGGCGCGCCACGGAGGACCGGGGAGCAACGCCAATTACAACCCCCTAATTACAAACGGGCCGCCCCGCCCTGCCCCCGCGCATGCCCCCGCGGACTCGTTAAACGGGCCCTAACGAACCCTGGCGCTGATCTACCACCCCGAGCGCAGACACAGGAGGCCCGTGGCGAAATCGACAAGAGCGGCCGGGCAGGGTCGGCATCGTGACCACGTGGAGGAGGGGGGGGGGCGGGGGAGGAGCGATGACGGGAGCCACACAAGACCCCGTGACCTTTAGGCTAATGATCCGACCCCTGCTCCCACGTCGCACACCTCCTCCCCCCCACCACTCCTGGTGGGGTTGTACGACGGCACTGGCGACCGATCGTATCAACGCGCACGGTTAGGTCGTCGGGGGCTCCATTCCTGGCCGCGGCTCATGTCAGTGGCGCGTGGATATCTGAACCGGTCCCGGCACCCGCCCCCCTCACCAACCACCGCCGGATCGTCTCGTTTCCCAAGCTCTCACCTCTTCACTTACTCACCACCCCAACCCCTCAACTCACCCACGCTGCAGGTCACTCCGCTTCTCTATCTGCCTCTACCCTCGCTCTGCTCCGCTCTGGAATTCCCTCCACCCATCATTGTCTCTTTCCCCCATGCTCCTACAACACTAACCGTGCTCCGTTCAAGAGCGACGCGTTAGTCACCCTCAATATGTGTGACAACTCGTAAAATAGCGCTGTCAAGTCTCAAGTTGGAGTCCGTGTAACACGGTGAGAACTCAAGGGACCAAAAAAAACCCAACAATTAAAGGACATATTCTTAGCTCTTTCGGTAAAGTCACGTTGAAGGGAATAAATAAAATAATAAAAAATATATAAAACAATAAAAATCCTCACGACGTTTCGACCATAGCACAAACGGTCATCATCAGGTGTGAAAAGCAATGGCAAGAAACATTTGAAAGAAGTGGCGGGTTTTTTTTGGAAATATATATTTTATTATTTTATTCTTTCCCTCCAACGTGACTTTACCGAAAGAGCTGAGAATATGAATCACTGCAGTCACGAAAGCTTTAAGTCAAAATTAAAGGACAGCAAAATCCCGCGTTCTGTCCACGACGCCGCGCATGCCGAGAGTGCTCGCGCCGTCCGTCCGTCCGTCCGTCCGTCCGTCCGTCCGTCCGTCCGTCCGTCGACGCACGTGAATGAGACCCAACACGAGCGGAACTCCGGTGGGAAGCAGCGTTGCTCGCTGGGGCCTCGTCGCCGGAAGCACGGCGGAGGTGGCCAACGCGAGCGCGAGAGATTTTACTGCGGATCTCGCAACAAACTCTGACATCGTGTAAACAGGAGCGCACTCACCAATCCGCGTAGAAGTTGACCATCACCAGATCCGCGGAACCTGCAAAACGACGCACAGAGACGCGGGGCCAGACCCGGGGGGGGGGGGGGGCGGGGTGGGTAAGCTCGGTGAGCAACGTTGCATTCACGTTGTGTAAACACTCATCGTTCCCCGTAACGTGTATGAAGCACGTACCGATACTCGCCGTTTTGTATCGCGACCTATGTGAACATGCTTGTGTCACTAAGATTTGTACCCTACAACACCTCTACCGTCGCACGACACCCACAAAATAGAGCCTAGCAGCTCATTGGGCCCTTCCAGTTGAAATAAATAAAATCTATCTATTAATTGGCTGAAAACGTCCTGAGAAATAGAGGACTGCAGAGCTTGGGCAACTCTCGGTAGCACCGGCTGCTCACCGCCTGGCTGCAGCCTTACCGCTCGTCTGTGGATCCTCAGCTTTTGTGAGATTCAATAAAGGACGCCGTATGAAACTTAACATGATTCTTATTTATATTACATTGTTGATGTACACTTCAATCCATATTCTGAGGTCCGTATCCCGAGTCACGGCTCGGCTCAGGCTTGGCTCTGGCTCAAGTGAGCCATGGCTCAAAGCCGTGTGCTTCACTTGAGCCGGCTCAAAGCATGGTCCCAGCCATGCTCAGGATGTTTCCATGAGTCTGACCTTGAGCCAGGCCACAGCTGAGCAGCTCACTCGCGCGTCTTTGTATGCAACGGAGCAGCTCGAGCCTGAGCTGGGTCTAGAGGCCAAGCCTGAGATGGGCCTTGGTGCAAGAGGCCAAGCCTGAGCTGGGCCTGAGTGTTTGAGATCGAGCCTGAACTAGGCCTGAGTGTTAGAGGCCAAGCCTGAACTGGGCCTGAATGTTAGAGGCTGAGGCTGAACTGGGCCTGAATGTTAGAGACCAACCCTGAACTGGGCCTGAATGTTAGAGGCTGAGGCTGAACTGGGCCTGAGTGTTAGAGGCCAACCCTGAACTGCGTCTGAATGTTAGAGACGAAGCCTGAGCTGGGCCTGAGTGTTTGAGGTCGAGCTTGAGCTAGGTCGAGACTAAGAATGTGGCGCTTAACTTGAATCAACGCCAGCCTGCGGAGTTACAGTGAAGACTGTGAAGTTCGTGTGGTCACAGTTTCATTCTCGTCGACTCTCGCCCACGAGCAAGCAATAGCGGGTCTGCTGCACCTTTACCTGTATTACTTGCACATCACCACATTCGAAATGATACCTCGTGAGTGAGGGTGTGTGTGGGTGTGAGTGAGGTGAGCGAGGGTATGAGGGTTTGAGTGTGAGCGAGGCCTTAATGGTCTGTGTGAGAGTGTGAGGGGGGTGAGAATGAATGTGAGCGAGGGCGGGGGTGTGAAGGTGTGAGCAAGAGTGTGAGTCAGAGCCAGGGTGCTGTGGTTACCTAATATGCTGTCCACGTTCTCGGTGTTGAGGTTTACTGTGCTGCCCAGCACCTGGCTGATCCACGTGGCCTGCATGGCATACAAGAGTGGCGCTGTCAGTCGGCTCAAGAGTGGCGCCATCAGTTATTCGCTGGTGCGTTCACAGCTTGTGACGCTGCAATATTCGCCATAACATACGATAACACGCCACCCGCTTGGCTCACAGTGGATGGTAAAGATCACCTGACGTCATTCGCAAGAAGAGTAGACCTTCGTGTGCCGGCGTCACAGTCCAAACTTACCAAACGTGAAAACTTAAAACCACAAATTGCTCAACTGGGATCACACACATGGCAACAACATCAACCCCCACCCACTGTGGAACTATGGCAGCCCCCCACACAGCGGCGACTTCCTTCGTAATGATTGCCTTGCGCTGTCGACAGGTATTGGCGCTGCCGTTTCGACAGCGCCAATACCTTCGGTAAAGTCTACGTGACTTTACCGAAAAGAACCAATAATATAGCTGTGAAATCGTCTTAAGACTGAGGGAGGCTTTCCTGGGCAAAAAAGCACAATGATAATAATAATAATAATACAGTGACCTCGGGAGATGCCACGCGCATAGCATCAGTACTGGCCCACTGCTCAGCGTGACCTCTGACCTGGTCGATCGGATGACGATCGAGAAAAAAGTTCGGCCTAAAAAAACGTTCGAGTGCCTCGCTGTTTAAATCGGCGCCGGGGCCGCCACTCATCTCGCCGTCGCCATCGTCACGACGCTTGTTCACCCGGGAAATCCGCTTCACGCTCGTTCGCGAGGGACACGCCGAGTTATCGCCGTGGCGATACGATGTCGCCGAACGGAATCCCAAAGGGGAGCCGCGGCGGCGAGGAGATGCCGTTCTCCCTCGCCTGGCACGCAGGAAGGCCGTGGGTTCGATGCCGGTTGTATATTTGGAGTCCGCGCGTTCCCTCTCCCCGTGGTGGTCGCGTGCTCTCTGCGTCCCACCCGTTCTGCCCGCCTCATTTCGAAACGTGCGCTTCAGATTATTTGGCTGCCCCCTATGAGTTCCCACACACGCGATTCACCACTGAGCTTTCACGTGTGGCCAGGTCACCTGTGAAAAATAGCTAATATCTCAGTGGGCTTTAATGTGCTCAATCGAAGAGGCAAAGAGTGTTGGCGAGGTCCCTCTCTGTTCAACATGGGTCCCGGTTTGACGCAAAACTCTCCGTGACGCACAACACAGGATAACCACGAAATCAACTCGCAAGCCAAATCGGCAGACAAACCGCCTCCTTCCCATAGCTGTCCGTCATTTATATGTAACAACTAAAAAACGATTATTGACAAATTTCATCAGCCACGTGGCCTTCTTGGGAGCGCATCGTTTCAGAAGGCCGCGCGGCTCACGGGAAGAGTTAAAACGATGAATCGAGCGTCCGGCCATCTCTGAGCGCCACTTCCGATGCCCGTCTCAGTCACCTGACCCCCCCGCTCCTCCTCCACTTGGCACGCAGGTCACCACATTCTCGCAAAGCCAAGCACCGGATTAAGCCTGGACAGCAGCGCTGGAACCGGTGACCCAGCTCGCTCAGGTGAAATGAGACTTTTATCCCGGTAACCTTTGAGATCTCGCCCGTTAAAACAAAGCCAACTTGAAACCACCGCGCACGACGCAGGGTGCGCGCGGTACGCCTTGCGGGTTGCCATGGCAGGGTTGCCATGGCAGGGTTGCCATGCCAGGGTTGCCATGGCAGGGTTGCCATGCCAGGGTTGCCATGCCAGGGTTGCCATGTCCGGGTTGCCATGGCAGGGTTGCCATGCCCGGGTTGCCATGCCAGGGTTGCCATGCCCGGGTTGCCATGCCCGGGTTGCCATGCCCGGGTTGCCATGCCCGGGTTGCCATGCCCGGGTTGCCATGGCAGGGTTGCCATGGCAGGGTTGCCATGCCCGGGTTGCCATGCCCGGGTTGCCATGGCAGGGTTGCCATGCCCGGGTTGCCATGCCCGGGTTGCCATGGCAGGGTTGCCATGCCCGGGTTGCCATGCCAGGGTTGCCATGCCAGGGTTGCCATGCCCGGGTTGCCATGCCCGGGTTGCCATGCCCGGGTTGCCATGCCAAGGTTGCCATGCCAGGGTTGCCATGCCCGGGTTGCCATGCCCGGGTTTGCCATGCCGAGGGTTGCCATGCCCGGGTTGCCATGCCAGGGTTGCCATGGCAGGGTTGCCATGCCAGGGTTGCCATGCCACGGTTGCCATGCCAGGGTTGCCATGCCAGGGTTGCCATGGCAACCCTAGCATGGCAACCCATGCTAGGGTTGCCATGCCAGGGTTTCCATGGCGGGCAGCAGAGGGCCAATGCAGAAAAATCGATTGCTGCGCTGTATTTCTATGCTCCCTGCTTGGACCGACCCGCGTGGTGAAGGATGGTCAAACAACCCACACGGTCCGCACAGGCCATCATCCAGCAGTGGAGAGACGGACAGAGCTGTTCATGTACACACAAACACACAGTGTACAACACCTAACTTTATAATACAAAGTTATCACACTAAGCGTGTATACATTAAGTCTGTGTCTGTATTAGCAGATATAAAGTCCCATAGGACCTTACTATACTAATTATTACTCATGCGTAAAGATAAACTCCGTGCATTTTCACAGAGAACTTTGAAGTATAATCTTCAAAGCGTACACTGCATGCACATAAATTTTGATTTAAAGCTTTCGTGACTGCAGTGATTCATATTCTTGGTGCTTTCGGTAAAGTCACGTTGAAGGGAAACAACAAAATAACAAAATACATATAAAACAATAAAATTGTATTGTTATATATGTATTTTGTTATTTTATATGTATTTTGTTATTTTGTTGTTTCCCTTCAACGTGACTTTACCGAAATAACCAAGAATATGCATGCACATAATTCACGTGCAAGTGCAGGCACTCTAGAATACGTACACCGGATAAGAGTTAGCGTTACAGTCTCGACCAATCGGAACGCGGAACCCGACCCCCCCCCCCCCCCCCCATTGTCCGTCCGCGCTTCCAAATGTAAAGCGGCTCGCCGGTGACGTCACGGGCCGGGCCAGCCAATCAGGAGGCGCCACATTTAAAAGCGGAGTCCAGCCAGAGAGCCGTAATTCAGATGGCCCAAACATCAACAATTCACAATCACTTTGCTCCTAACATTATCATCATCCTTAATATTACTAACAACTTAACCCTTGCTGTTGCCATCGTAACCATTCAAATCACAACAACAGTCATGCACCTTCACCATCAGCATCAAACGTCACCTCCGTCGTCATTTCACGTGAACACCACAATCGCTCAAAATTAACAATCACCACCACCATCATCATCAACAAGTTACACAACCATCTTCACCACTGTCCATTCCCACACGGACAGCAGCAGCACCACCACACTGCACCTCGTGAACAGGAATCTTGAACAACCAAAATTAACACCGTCAGTCTCTATCCACTGCTGCACGAGGCCCCTTCACGAGACTTTGCACGTTAACCCAGTAGCGTACTCCAGTCGTGTGCACATACAGTACACAGTACTCTTCTACAGTACACAGCACTCTGCTACTGTACACAGCACTGCTACAGTACACAGTACTCTGCCACAGTACACAGTACTCTGCTACTGTACACAGCACTCTGCTACTGTACACAGTACTCTGCTACAGTACGCAGGTCACAAGGGCATTCATTGTGCAGTAGACTCTGTGCTGTAATCTGTGTGGTGTACCAACACGGTAAACCGATAGGTGCTCGCCAACACACACAGACACACTACACACAGACGCATAACACGCACACACAGACAACACACACAGACACCACACACAAGACACGACACACTACACACAGACACAACACACTACACACAGACACAACACACTTCACGCACAGGCAACACACACACACAGACACCACACACACAGACAACACACTACACACAGAGACACAATACACAGAGACAACACAACACACACAGACACACTACACACAGAGACACAACACACAGAGACAACACAACACACACACCCAACACTACACACAGACAACACACTTCACGCACAGGCAACACACACACAGACACCACACACAGATACGACACGCTCCACACAGACACGACACACACACAGACACGACACACACACAACACACACAGACACAACACACACAGACAACACACTACACACAGACACACTACACACAGAGACAACACAACACAGACACACTACACACAGAGACAACACACTACACACAAACACACTACACAGAGACACAACACACACAAACACACTACACACAGACAACACACTACACACGGAGGCACAACACACACAGACAACGCACTACACACAAACACACTACACACAGAGACACTACACACAGATACACTACACACAGACAGACTACACACAGACACACTACACACAGAGACACTACACACAGACACACTACACACAGACACAACACACAGACACACTACACACAGAGACACTACACACAGAGACACTACACACAGAGACACACTACACACAGACACACTACACACAGAGACACTACACACAGACACACTACACACAGAGACAACACAGTACACACAAACACTCAAATCTCCTCCACATCCGGACCTGGCCAGCCCCCCCCCACCGCTCCGTGCCACGGCACTGCCCACCGTGAACCCCCGCGTCGAGGACCCCTCCTTGACCTCTACGGCTCGAGGGCCGTGGTGGTGGTGGTGGTGGGGGTCCAGCAAGGGGGTATCGGGGGTCCACTTGAGAAATCACCCCCCCCCCCTCCTCCGACCGGAGAGAGGACGGTAACCACACAACATTCTGGGGGGGGCCACGCCAGACCCCAATGGGGTGGCCCAGGTTCAGAGTCGAACCTTGGTAGGGGAGGGTTGGTGGTAGGTGGGTAGGGGGTGGGGACCCCCTCCAGGCTACCCCCTGGGGGTGTCCCCTTAGACGTGGCCCGGGCGGTGCGGCCCCGGAACGAGTCGAGGCCGGCAGGCCAGGGCCCGCGAGCCGGCGCGGCCTGCCACGGTGGCAGAGGAGGCGGGTGGCTGTGGTTGTGGTGGTGGCTGTGGTTGTGGCTGTGGTGGTGGTGGTGGTTGTGGTGGTTGTGCTGGCGGCGACGGGCTGGGAAGGAGGGGAGGCGGACACTCACTGCGAGCACCAGGAGAGGTGCGAGAGTCCGCTCCGTGTGTGCCGAGGTCGCGTCCATTGCGAGCTGTAGAGGGGAGGAGACTGCAGGAACAGCCTGCAGGGGGAGGAGGGAGGAGGAGGATGGAGGAGGGAGGAGGGAGGAGGATGGAGGCCTCCTTCTTAGCTCCACGCAACCGGTCGCCAGGTGTCGCTCGACTCCACACGGGGCTCTCACGCAGCCCCCCCCCCCCACTCGAAATCCTCTCTCGCGACACCCCCTCCACCCACCCTCTTCCACCCACCAACTTCCACCCACCAACTTCCACCCGCCCCCCTCCACCCGTCCCCCTCCACCCACCAACTTCCACCCGCCCCCCTCCACCCGCCCCACTCCACTCATCCCCTCCACCCGCCCCTTCCACCCACCCCCTTCCACCCACCAACTTCCACCCACCAACTTCCACCCACGCCCCTTCCACCCACCCCTTCCCCCCCACACCCTTCCACCCACCCTCCTCCACTCACCCCCCTCCATCCACCCCCTTCCACTCACCCCCCTCCACCCACCCCCCTCCACTCACCCCCCTCCACCCACCCCCTTCCACCCACCCCTTCCCCCCACCCCTTCCACCCACCCCCCTCCACCCACCCCCTTCCACTCACCCCCGTCCATCCACCCCCTTCCACTCATCCCCCTCCACCCACCCCCTTCCACCCACCCCCTTCCACCCACCAACTTCCACCCACCCCCTTCCACCCACCCCTTCCCCCCACCCCCTTCCACCCACCCCCCTCCACCCACCCCCTTCCACTCACCCCCGTCCATCCACCCCCTTCCACTCACCCCCCTACACCCACCCCTTCCACCCACCCCCTTCCACCCACCAACTTCCACCCACCCCCTTCCACCCACCCCTTCCCCCCACCCCTTCCACCCACCCCCCTCCACCCACCCCCTTCCACTCACCCCCCTCCACTCACCCCCCTCCACTCTCCCCCCTCCACCCACCCCCCTCCACCCACCAATTTCCACCCACCCCCTTCCACCCACCCCTTCCCCCCACCCCCTTCCACCCACCCCCCTCTACCCACCCCCTTCCACTCACCCCCCTCCACTCACCCCCTTCCACTCACCCCCCTCCACCCACCCCCCTCCACTCAACCCCCTTCCACCCACCCCCTTCTACTCACCCCCTTCCACCCACCCCCTTCCACTTACCTCCCCCACCCACCCCCCTCACTCACCCCCCTCCACCCACCCCCTTCCACTCACCCCCTTCCACCCACCCCCTTCCACTCACCCCCCTCCACCCACCCCCTTCCACTCACTCCCCCTCCACCCACCCCCTTCCACTCACCCCCTCCATCCACCCCTTCCACTCACCCCCCTCCACCCACCCCCTTACAACCCACCCCCTTCCACCCACCAACTTCCACCCACCCCTTCCACCCACCCCTTCCCCCACCCCCTTCCACCCACCCCCCTCCACCCACCCCCTTCCACTCACCCCCTCCACCCACCCCCTTCCACTCACCCCCCTCCACTCTCCTCCCTCCACCCACCCCCCTCCACCCCCTTCCACCCACCAACTTCCACCCACCCCCTTCCACCCACCCCTTCCCCCCACCCCCTTCCACCACCCCCCTCCACCCACCCCCTTCCACTCACCCCCCTCCACCCACCCCCTTCCACTCACCCCCCTCCACTCACCCCCTTCCACTCACCCTCTCCACCCACCCCCTTCCACTCACCCCCCTCCACCCACCCCCCTCCACTCACCCCCCTCCACCCACCCCCTTCTACTCACCCCCTTCCACCCACCCCCTTCCACTCACCCCCCTCCACCCACCCCCTTCCACTCACCCCCCTCCACCCACCCCCTTCCACTCACCCCCCTCCACCCACCCCCTTCCACCCACTCCCTTCCACTCACCCCCTTCCACCCACCCCCTTCCACTCACCCCCCTCCACCCACCCCCTTCCACTCACCCCCCTCCACCCACCCCCTTCCACTCACCCCTCCATCCACCACCCTTCCACTCACCCCCCTCCACCCACCCCTTCCACTCACCCCCTCCACCCACCCCCTTACACCCACCCCCTTCCACCCACCACTTCCACCCACCCCCTTCCACCCACCCCTTCCCCCACCCCCTTCACCCACCCCCCTCCACCCACCCCCTTCCACTCACCCCCCTCCACCCACCCCCTTCCACTCACCCCCCTCCACCCACCCCCTTCCACCCACTCCCTTCCACCCACCCCCCTCCACTCACCCCTCTCCACCCACCCCCTTCCACTCACCCCTCTCCACCCACCCCCTTCCACTCACCCCCCTCCACCCACCCCCTTCTACTCACCCCCTTCCACCCACCCCCTTCCACTCACCCCCCTCCACCCACCCCCTTCCACTCACCCCCCTCCACCCACCCCCTTCCACTCACCCCCCTCCACCCACCCCCTTCCACCCACTCCCTTCCACCCACCCCCTTCCACTCACCCCCCTCCACCCACCCCCTTCCACTCACCCCCTCCACCCACACCCCTTCCACCCACTCCCTTCCACCCACCCCCTTCCACTCACCCCCCTCCACCCACCCCCTTCCACTCACCCCCCCTCCACCCACCCCCTTCCACTCACCCCCCCTCCACCCACCCCCTTCCACCCACTCCCTTCCACCCACCCATTTCCACCCTTCCCCTCTGTAAAACGCGGCGGCGAGAAGGCTGCGGCATGGACAACCGTGCAGGCGACGTCGTCTTCAACGAACCGGCGGCTCTCGGGCAACCCCGGCGTTTAATCAAAGTTGGCCACTGCCCGTCGAGACGCAGGCCGAGACGTGACTTGGAGATGCGAGGTTGTGCAACATTGCGCGTGCTGAAAGGTGGGGGTCTCGAGCAGCCTTGTCCAAACCACCAGCTCAACAGAACTAACTGCGTGGCGATGTTGGGAACACGCGACCATCAACCTGTGTGTCACGCACGCACGCACGCACTCCTAGCAACCGGATTATAAGGCGAACTTCTAACTTATTTTAATTTTAAAATACCGGGGAATTGCGTCTTTTAATCTCGAGTCATGGCAATCGTCATCATCGTCAGCCATGGCTAATCCACTGCTGGATGAAATGTTTACACAACGTTCCAGGTACTTATTTGAAGCTGCGTGGACTAACACGTCGCCCGTGTATAAACTAAGGTTGTCACGCTGTAACCAATAAACCGGTAACCGTTTTGAAGTCTATTTGCCGGTTACGGTTTCCAGCGGAAGCTTAAGAGCAATGACTGCTCTGATTTAAACAAGTAAACCCCCATTCATATTCTTGGTTCTTTCGGTAAAGTCACGTAGAAGGGAAATAATTAAATAATAAAAATAAAACAATACAATTCTCACGACGTTTCGGCCACAACGCAAGACGCTGTTTTTCCGACAGCTCTGTTCTTCATCTGAGGACGGCTGCATGCGTTGTGGCCGAAACGTCGTGAGAATTTTATTTTATTGTTTTTATGTTATTATTTCCCTTCTACGTGACTTTACCGAAAGAACCAAGAATATGAATCCCTGCAGTCACGAAAGCTTTAAATCGAAACGAAACCCCGTTGTTTTTAACTTGCACGCCGGGACATGGAATCGAACTGGTGTTACCTCTGGATAGGCATGTGCGGTGACGCTCACCGCTACAACCACCACCCAGCGGTGGCAAGCTTCGCTGTTACTGGGAAACCAGGAGCCAGATGTTTGTTTTCTCTCCATGCGGTGACCCGGTCATGGAAAAAAAAGAATAGAGAGAGAGAGTCGATTTTGACAACCCGAGTGTAAACATGGAGAGACGTTACCGATCATAAGTGCGACCCGTAACGCAGAACAGCGGTGCTCGCTGACTCAGACGAGCGGGAACGAAGCAGCAGCAGCAGCAGCAATTGCCCAAGCTCAGCGATCCTCTATACATTGAGGTGGTATCGCCCATTAATTGAGTGTTTGCATGCGGGAGGAAATCGGAGCACCCGGAGAAAACCCAACGCTGTGCGAGGGGGCAACACTCAATCCCGTGCGGACAGAACACGTGGGAGTCCACGTTTTTTTGGCTGTTACCGCCTTCACCTGGCAGAGCCCAGGGCACGGGCTCCTCCTCGACGCCCAACGGGAAGGGAGTCTCGCAACATCATCATCATCTGTGTGTGTGTGTCTGTGTGATTCACCACCCCCGCTGCTGCCCGCACTGCGCTGCATTACAAGCCACGTGCAGCGTAGCCACCGCCACTGCCGCCGCCGGGCAAAGACAAAGGACCATGCTTTGATCCTTAGCGGTCTGCCAAGACGTGGGGGATAGGGGGGGGGGGGGTGCAAGGGGGATAGAGGTGGAAGGAGGTGGTGGTGGGGGGGGGTAAATGGGGAGGGTGGGAGATAGGGGGAGGGGCCGTGTTTGGATTCCAGAATTGGTGTCCCTCGAGTCGTCCCATCACGGCGCTGACTGATGCTACTCGTGGCAGCGAGCCTCTCCAGAAAGCTCCGCACGATTCCAACAACAGCAACAGCAACAACAACAGAAGTTCCCCTCTCGCGCGTTCACTCGCTGCAGCGGCACTGTGGCCCCGTCCACCACAACGACCGACCGCAAGCTTGAGTTCGAGTCCCGACCGAGGCCAACATCGACGCGATCACTCACTCGCCGGCAGATCGATCGCGATTGTGGGCGGCGACCCATCGGATCGATTGCAAGCGCGGTGCGGTTGCCGAGGCTCCACCACGGGCGCATGCTGTTGTTTGTTTATTTATTTATTACCAAACATTTACTCACCGGGTCACTCTCCAGGGCGCAGTGAATCCGACGGTGTGATGTGCATAGCCCGCGGGGAGATTATCCGCGTTCGGTGGCAATTTGCGCCGCCTTTACGGGCGCATTATCGGGACTCGAGCGAGCGGCTCGCGATGGGGGAAGGTTGAGAGTTCAAATCCCGGTTTGGGGTTCAATCGGCTCAGCCCATCATCTCTTGAGCCTCGGGGGTCGATAAAATAAGTACTGCTTCGTGGGGAAGAGGAACGGTGATATGAATTATGATAACAATCTCAGCTTTCAGCGTGCTGCCGCCACTCCGTGTCCGCTCATCGCTCTCGTAGAGAGAGATAGAGAGGAATGTTTGGC